CATCGACCTGCCTGTCTAGAAGCCGCGGGAAAACAACACGGGAAAACCACTGGACAACCCTCCTCGGGGGCCCGTGCTGGGCACGGGCAAAACATTATGGCGCGACATGCCCGTAGCAGCCCAGGACCGATATCCCTCCCACTCCTACAGTTTCATCCCGACAGCACGAAGGCGCGAATCATGACCGATGCCATGAAGGGGGGGGGCGCACCATATCCCTTCTGTCTCACCCCACAGACTCGAGTCAAACTGTCGAATCTGCAAACTATCGAACGCTCTGTGGAATCAGATCACTGCTCACTAGATCGATGACGTCGGGGCAACGGCGAGGCAACCGCGCGGGTAAACCACAAGACAACCGCGGGACGACTGCGGGAACTCCGCACGGGACAGCCGCGCGGGGCATCTGCGCTGGACAGTCGGGGGGACAACAACGGGACAGCCGGAGGACAGCCCTGCGGGCCCCACGCCGGGGCCCCTGGGGCGAGAATCGAGGTGGCGTCGCATGCCGCCATGCCCCCCAGCTACAGGAAGCTACCACTCGCCCTCGCTGAGCCTCGTCGCGGCCGCAGGCACGACATGGAGATCGAGACCACCCGCCCGACGAAAGTTGTCCGTTCCACTTCTGCCCCAGCCTCCCAGCCTCCGATTGAAAACTTGTGCTACGAGCGACACGAGCGACGAGAGGGAAGAAAAGGGGAGGAGGACCACGAGACGATAGAGGCGGGGACAATAATCTTTGTCAAGAGTGCGGGAGCCGCGCCCAGTCTTCAGCTGTGATAACCGAGGTCCGGCCGAGCAAGTCGGCGCAGGACGAGAGCGAGGGGAAGAACATCGCAGAAGACAACGGAAATGACTACTGCTCCATGCCACTGCAAGCGCGTCTGCAACCCTGGAACAAGACCCTTTCTCCTCCTCCTCCTCCTCCTCCTCCCCTCCTTTGAGCAGGGACCGACCGTCCCAGCATTCCTGTAGTCCTACCACGAAATGTTCTTAGAACCCCGAAATTCTCTAGGATCCCAAACAAGGTTCTTAGAACATAAACCCGATATGTTAAAACAAGACAGGCTCCGCAAACAATATTCTAAGCACATGTCGTGAAAACCACCAAGCTTCTAAGAACATTGTTTGGTAGGGCTATGGGCGAGCCAGGACGCTTCGCCACTGCTTGACTCCTCCTCCTCCTCCTCCGCCTCCTCCTCCTCCTCCGCCTACCCCTGCGGATGATGGACAAAATCCTGCACCGCCCGCGCGACTGGGGTGCTGGCACAGACTTCAAGACGCCCCCCTGCCCCCGACGCAACATCGCTTGGCATCGCCAGCGGCCAACCGGCAGATCGACGCATGGCGGCGCAGCCCGCTGGTGTTAGATTGAGGGCGCAGGGGGCGTCCACCAGAAAATCCATAAAAAGTGCGGGCTTCTGTCCTCCGGCCGTAGCACAGCACCCTGCAGATCCGGGTGGCCTGGTTCTCTCCCCAGAGGTCCACGCCCTCCATGGCGAGCAGGTACGGCAGCCACGTGGCGCTGAGGAAGCCGGTGTAGAAGCGGTACACGGTCAGTCCCTCCCCATCCACGCCATTTTTTCTGTGGAGGGAACGGAGCAGGAGTGATAGCAAGGGCAGGATTGGGGGGGAGGGGGGAGGAACAGAAGGGGCGAGCTGACGGAGGAATGGAATGAAGGAGGAGGAATAGGAGTAGGAGAAGGAGAAGAGGAGATACAGAAGCAGGATCATGGAACACAATGGGCTACGAAAGGCAATCTAGTAGGCCGACCCGACCTTATTCACTACGTGGGCAAGATCCCTGTCCCCGCGCGCCAGGCCCCCGCGCGAATGCGCCTGCGGCGGGCTGCCGATGAGTTTGGCCATGTCGGACCTGTCTCCTGGCAACCTGTTGGAGATGTGTCTGGGCAGCTCCGACGAGGTTCGATCGATCTCGATGGCGGACAATATGATACACATGGGAACAGGTATCGAAATACAGGACTATAGGTACAAATGTCGGCTGCAAATGGAAACGCGCAGAAGATTAGCAGACGCTCCAGCCTGGAAACAAACATGAGTGAGCTGGGACGAAGTGGGAGGAAAATACTTCGACGGATAAGCCGGGGGCAACCGATAATGTCTTTCACGCAGCCGCTGCCTGCAAGACCGCAGGCTACACACAGACCAGTGACATTTCTGAACTCGCCACTCGCGCACCAACATGGTTTTGAGAAGCGAGGCCAATACCGCCAGAGAAGCCTGAAGGGGACCCCCCCCACAAGGTCACCATCACATAACCCAATTGGGCACGAGCTAAATCTGGACTTTTTTCATGGATCTCCACAGGTTCAATGCGGTGCAGCAGCTGTTCGACCTTTTTTCCTGCAGAAGGAGCTTCGTACATAGGAAGACCTGGAATACATGCCTGATCTCGGAAGTTACCGATGAGACCTTCGAGTAACGAGCTTTTCCACCACGGATGAAATTCCCGAGCAATAGCGCATTCAAGATCGTCGGCAAACTAGAAAAGTTCTTTTCTAGCAGCATGGAACATGTGATATTAGGAGGCAACTCGGAATATGGATGCACAGTTCGTCCGTTCAAAGCATCTCGCGTTCAGTGGGGAGCCGAGGGAAGTGAGGGCGCGCATGACGATGTGGATGAACGCGTTGTTCGGGCATGACGGCGATGATGGCGGTGATGATGATGATGATGCTGATGATGATGATGATGCTGATGATGATGATGGTGATGGTGATGGTGATGGTGATGATGATGATGATGATGATGATGATGATGATGATGCTGATGATGATGATGATGATGATGATGGAAGTGACGGTGGTGATGACCACGAAGATAGTGGTGGTGATGATGGTGGTAGGTGTTGGCGATGACGGTGACGATGGTGACTTTCGCTGGCAGCGTTGAAAGCATCGCGCTGCCACTGGACTGGAAGCCGAGGCTGAAGCCTCAGGCTGGCACATGCATGGTGCCACTTGGCCGAAAGCCTCCTGACACGCGCAGCGGCCCGCCTTTGACGCCGCGGCGCCATTTGCAGCGTTGAAACCATCGCGCTGCCACTGGACTGAAAGCCTGAGGCTGAATACCTCAGGCTGTTACATGCAGGCTGCCACTTGGCTGAAAGCCCGAGGCTGGCACTTGCAGCAGCATCAAGTTGGGGGGCCCACCGCATTGCAATGCCACTCTCTGCTGTCCGCCTGGGCCATCGGCTCCGCGGGCTGTTCGGGCGGCGGTGGCCTGGGCACGTTGAGCGGCGGTGACTTGGTGGGGGGGCGGGCGGCGGCGTCTTGCGCCCGCGCGCGTCGACCAGCGCGCCGCGCACCATGGGGTCGAACAGCGCCGTGGGCGGCGGCGCCTTCTCCGGCGCCTTGGGCAGGCACGGCGGCTACGCCTTCCACGCCTCGCACTGGACGGGCGGCGCCTCGGGCCCACGCGCGCTCGCGAGCCTCGCCTCGCTTGCGGCCGCCTCCACTGCTGCGCGCACGAGGCCAGCGCGGGCGACCCTGAGGCGCGCGGGGGACTGGCGTGGGCAGTGCAGCCCTGCGCTCCGCCTCCCTCCGCGGCCCCTCTGCCTTCGCTGCCCGTCTTCTTCGCGCACGTGGCCCGCTGCTCGATGGTGGTCGATGGCGCCCGACAGAGCGACGGCCGATGGGGGGCCGCAGCTGCCGCGGCTGGCGCCGTGCCTGGATGGCCGACCAGCGGGGGCATCGCTGGATCGACGAGTGGATGGCTGGCTGGCAGCGAACCGTCGCACGGAGACCACTTGGAGGAGCGCATCTCTTCCACCGAGCGCACCGGGGCCTCGGTGGGCGCACGTGGGCCCCGAGTGCAGGCCCACGCGCAGGCCTTTCGTCGAGAAGCGTCAGCCAGGCCACTTCGCTGCGTGCGTCCTCGAGGGCGCAGCGCACCTCGATGGCCGCGCATCGCGGCGCACGTTCGGCTGCGAAGGCCTCCCGCCAAGCGCCCTTGAAATGACAAGCGCCAGAAGATCTTCGAGCCCGGCCAACCCTCGAGCTCCACCCGCGCAGTAGGGGGGCATCTCGCACATGCAGGTGACAACGCGCGACCGCGCCTCGACCGCCCCCATCGATTGCCCGCAAAGAACTGGCACGACTACAACGCTGGAACAAACAGCCCAACGAGCGCGATATACACATCTGGCACAACTGGCACACCTGGCACACGGCTTCACGCAGCAAGGTAAGCAAAATTGGCACAACTGGCACGCTGCAGCAACTGGCACGATAAACACACTTGGCACAACTGGCACAACAAACGCGACTGGCACAACATCGCGAGACGCAACCAGACCAGGACCATCACCTAACATGCAAACACGCGACACACACAGCAAGCAGCGTTTTCGCCTTTCGCTTCTCCCCTGTCTCTGCGTCGCTTCTCTCGACTCGCGCGCGATGCGCGCGCAGTGCACAATGCGGAAAGGCCCAGGGGCCGGGGAGGGGGGTGAGGGCGAGTGGGGAGAGCAGGAGAAGGGTGAGGAGGAGTAGGGAGCGAAGGACGAGGAGGAGGAGGACCAGTAGAAAACCAAGAGTCACTGACGATGTTCGAATAAACCCTTCCCCCAAGCTCCCTCTTCATAGGCCCCTACAACGGTTCATTTCCACAGAAGGCCCCGCCTCGTTGAGGCATGCCAAAGCATTATTCTCGGTATTCCAACGCCACGGATGAACCTGACTGTTGCGTCTTGACGGTCCTGAATCGTGCCAATACGCCAGTCCTGGGACCTCAATTTCGCGAATCATCGTAACTATTGCGCCCTCAAAATCGTGAATCCTTCCAAAACACCATTTCTGGCACGGCGATCATGGGAATCCGTGAAACTCTTGCACTTGTTTAACAAGGATGTGCGCGGCGCTAAGGCGAGAACCACATTTTGAAAACGACCCGCCCTCAATCCGCGAAACTCTTCTAAATTTCTAACACGAGTGCGCGCGGCGCTAAAGCAAGAACCACATATTGAAAACGACCCGCCTTCAACCCGTGAAACTCTTGCAACTTGTGAAAACGAATGAACGCGGCACTAAGGCGAGAACCACATTTTGAAAGCGACCCGCCCTCAATCCGTGAAGCGGCTGCACATGTTTAAAACGAATGTGCGCGGCGCTATGGCGAGAGCCACATTTTGAAAACGTCCCGTCCTCAATCCGTGAAGCTCTTCAACCTCTTTTCTGTAATAAAAAACGAATGTGCGCGGCGCTAATGCGAGAGCCACATTTTGAAAACGACCCGCCGTCAACCCGTGAAACTCTTCAACATTTCTATATAAAAAACGAATGCGCGCGGCATTAAGGCGAGAGCCACAATTTGAAAATCACCCGCCCTCAATCCGTGAAACTGGTGCAATGGTTTAAATCGAATGTGCGCGGCGCTAAAGCGAGAACACAGTTTGAAAACCACCCACCTTCAATCCGTGAAACTGTTGCACATTCGGAAAACAAATGTGCGCGGCGCTAAAGCGAGAGCCACAGTTTGAAAACGACCCGCCATCCATCTGTGAAACTGTTGCCGACTTTGAAATTTCAGGGTCAAGCGCTCGGAGCGGAAAGGGCACGGGGGGGAGGTCCCACTGAGGCGCTGGGGGCGCGGAGAGGAGTGGAGGGAGGTGGTGTGCGTCGCGACGCTGAATAAAATGGTCGGGGCGGAAGGGGGCACTGGGCGGGGCTCGGGGCAGAGGGCCACGGCGCGGGGGTCCAACTGGGGCACGGGGGACGGGGGGGGGGGGGGGGAGGTGGTGTGCGTCGCGACGCTGAATAAAACTGCCGGGGCGGAGGGGGCACAGGGTGGGGCCCCCACTGGGGCGCTGGGGACGCGGGGAGGGAGGTGGGGGAGGTGGTGTGCGTCGCGACGCGGAATAAAGCATTCGTGGCGGAGGGGGCAGTGGGCGGGGTTCCCGCTGGGGCGCTGGTGACGCGGGGAGGCTCGGGGCAGAGAGCCACGGCGCGGGGGTCCCACTCTGGCGCTGAGGACGCGAGGGGGGGGTGCGACGCGGAATGAAACGTTCGTGGCGGAGGGGCAGTGGGCGGGGCTCCCGTTGGGGTGCCGGGGACGCGGGGGGGGGGCTCGGGGCAGAGAACCACGGCGCGGGGGTCCCGCTGGGGCGCTGGGGACGCGGGGGGGGGGGGGGCGACGCGGAATCAAGCGTTCGTGGACGAGGGGGCAGTGGGCGGGGCTCCCGCTGGGGCGCTGGGGACGCGGGGGGGCTCGGGGCAGAGAGCCACGGCGCGAGGTTCCCACTCTGGCTCTGGGGACGCGGGGGCGGTGTGTGTGTGTGACGCGGAATAAAGTGGTCGAAACTCTAGACACCCTGTGCAAGATACTAATTATTTATCGGGATCCGTCCCGGCTCGAAACTTTCTGGGCTCCGTCGTGGCCGGAAGCTGTTCGGTTGTTTTTGCCGCGGCACTTGGCAACTCGGACATTTCGGTCGGCCCTGCGCGCTGTCCCCCGCGGATCAAAATCGGTCGCGTCGCTCCCGCGCTGCCCCGCATAAAGCTCGTTGCTCATAAACGTCGATGCAAATATGCGCGGAAACT